ATTTGGTTCGTGACCAGAATCCTGGAACGAATTAAGTTTGTGAACCGAGGTACCACTGTACTGCCTGTATGTGGGGGTCTGCATGCACAGCCATATTATTTCATGTTGTATCCTGCATAGGCATGCAGAGGTAACTGAGGACAACCTTCAAAACAGCCACAAAGGCCTTTCAAATTATATGCCTGCTTCAAAACCTCAAGGACAGTGCTTCACTAGTGCTAACATTCTTTACAAAGTATTTCTTTCCAAAGTTGTAGTATTTTCTATAAGCGGGTAAAATAAAAAAACGAGATCGCTTTGAGGTCAAATCTAGCTGTGAATAAGACTGTATTCTGCCAAGTAGTGGGCAATAAATCCATTGTTTCAAGCAAAAGACAACTAATTGGTAATAAAACACTGTTCAAGCTATGAAACTGATTTTACTAGGAATTAGCACCTGGAGGCTGAAATTGCTGTAGCGTTAGTTTTCTTTTTGCTGTAGCATTTTCTTTTTGCTAATCAACTGATTCTCAGATATTCAGAAACACTTGCAGAATCATATAATGATTAAGTTATTACTAGGGCTTGCAACAGTTGACTACCAGGCAAGAGGGTACAATTTTACCTGAGTAGCTCCAGTTCAGTTCTCAGCTCTGCCACACAGTTGTGCTGGGCATCTCCAGCACTGAGAATGGCATATCCACAGCCATTGGGGCATTCACGACTCCGAAATTCACACACTACCAAATGGCTATCTAAATTACGCCGTTCAACTTGGAGAGGACAGCCTGAGTGAAAAAGAGAAGATGGATGGAAACAGAAGAAGCAATTTTATCTTCAAAATTGTAGATAAGAAGAATTATTTCCTTATCAAGGTGTTCTGACCCAGAGAAAATTTTGAGTGATAGTGAAAAAGGTGTTCAGTTTTCCTGTTCTTCAGCATACCTTAAGCACCTTTAGGAAACCTATAGCCTCTAGAAGTAGTTGGACTTTAACAGTCCCAGCCAGTATGGCCAATATTCAGGAATGAGAGGTTCTGTAATCCCAAAACATCAGGAAAGACCCTGGTTGCTCATCCCTGATCTAATAAACAGAGAAGCAGCCCGACCCCCAAACATTAAGTGACAAATGGGAAGAAAGAAACATTAGTTGCCTTCCAGTTTCATGAAGGCTGATATCAGCTCCTCACAAATTCTACATTTGCTTCAGCAAAATAGAAAGAAATTAACCTGCACAGAAAGAGAAAAACTGAACTCAAGAAAGGTCACTTAATAGCAAGCACCCATCTAGTTTAGCTAATAAAAATGGAGTTTACCATCTCCACATAAAACATCTCTGCCTTTTACCTACCACTATTTGAACAGGGTATCTGGCTGTATTCACACTCGCGTTCATGTCGGCCAATGGATTCTAGTGAACACACTATTTCACAGCCACTTGCTGTGTTTCTGCAGTGAAGCTGAAGTCGATTAAGATCATTCCTCATGTACCTGCACAAAGAGATTATTGTCATTCTTGTAGTACCATAAAATGCTTCACTTTCATAAAACATGTTTCCTTGGGATTTTCTTTGAGGAACAGGGAAAAAAAATACTTTAAAAAAGGGAAGCTCACTCTTTCTTTTGTTGAATAATCCAGAGGAAATAAATGAGGGAAAAAATTGGAAATGAAGGATTATGAAATCTTTCCTAATACAAGTAGCCCTCATTATCTATGTTTCCATTACATGTTAATTTTGAGTATCTGTAGCTACTAAAAGGGGGCCAAACCTCATTATACACAATGAAGATTTACATATATCCACCTTTTTTACCCTGCTTTTTGATGCTTTATACATTAGCAAAATAGCAGACAGGCTTTTGCAGATGTATTCATTTTTTAAAGGTCTCCTTATTTGCTATTTTGTTATCTGCAGTCTCAAGGCTGGAAAAGAATCCTACAGATAATAAGGGCCTCCTGTACTTTATTGTAATTATACTGTATTATATGAAAGATAGAGGAGTTTCTCAAATCTATTTTTCAACAGGTAGAAAGTTTAAAGATTCCAATATATTCTTGGAGGCAGATGAGAGAGGGGGTTTTGTGGTCTAATCTTCATTTTTGATAGGAGGTTGTCTGAAATTCATAGTCAGCTTTCTTTGGGGTAAATAAGAAATAATTAAGAAATGACTCCATATATGGAAATATTAACAAAAATAGTAAACATACGAAAGTTGTTGTGTCTCCAATTCTGTACATTTTGAACTACTCTTGGATAGTGTCAGAAGAATGGAGGAAAAATTTCTTTAACAGTGCTACAATTAAGGACAACTACAGAGTATCTTATTAACAGATGTGGGATGAGATGAAGGCAATGTATGGGAAGGAAGGAACGAAGGAAGGAAAAGTCCAAGACATGTTTGTGCTATGTTTGAGTGCAAGTGGAGAAAATTTGTTTCCCAGATTTGCTGCTGTTTAGTCTTTCCTTTATGCATATCTTTTCCCTTATGCATATCCCTTATGCATTAAATACCATCCCTTAACTGCATGTTTCCCCACTGTTAATTTTTTATTTCCAAATTTAACAATGAGATATCTGAATCAAGAGGTAACACTGAACCTCTGGCCGTTCTGAGTCTTTCAATGTAACATACCACTTTCTCAGATTTAGTTCAACCGCTGCTTTTATACAAGAATGAGAAAACCTTTATTGCTGGAATTATTCTCTCTCTCTCCCTTTCTCTCTTTCTGAGGTAGGAGGAGAAGCAAAAATTATTGGTCACAGTTTCCTTTTTTTGCAGTTTGAGAAGATTTAAGTTAAAACATGTGCTTACCTAGCAAAGGTTAGTTAAAAAAAAAGGGAGGGGGAATTCCAGGAAGTACATAGTTGTGTGTGTACGGTCCTATTTGAGGTAACCAGAAGGCAATTTCAGAAATCTCTAGAATGGCTGTCCAAAAATCTTTTCTTTTTCAAGTGAAATTGACTCAGAAGGCCTCTCCAAGGATAGATTTAAGTTACTTTCACAATCCCATTTTATGAGGAGAAGCAGCGACAAATAGGAAAATGGAACAAACTGAATCCCTGCCCTGTACAGCCACTAATGCCAGATCAGGACTAGGAGTTGTGGCAAGTGGTCCCACACCTGTAAAGTGGTCGGAGGACAGACAAATCAAGGAACTGGCGATCCTCTGGGCAGCTGTTGTGTTGAACGAGCCATCCATGGATGCAGGAAGTGCAGAAGGCATGTTCGCAAGGAGCTTGCAGAGGGTCCTGGAGCACATCTCGGCAGATGCAACACAGCAGCCCTTCATTAACATAACCAACAAAGCGCTCCATGTCATAGCCCATTTTCTTAAAGACGGTTAACCTAATACAGGAATGAAATGCAGCATTAGCTGCGAGCAGAGGACAGCTACTTCTCACATTGCCCTTGAAAATCAAGGTGTTCTCTAAGGGACATTACCTTTGCATCTTTACAAAGTGACTGACCTGGCTTGCAACTTTTAAACAGCTCTCACATACCGAAAGGACATCTAGCAGATTCAAAAGAAAGATACTTTAACTCATACAGAACTTCTAATGCATGCAAATCTCTTCAAGTCACTGACTAAACTTGTCAAATGTTGTGGTGTGTACTTAAGCAGACAGCATGGCTAAAAAATGGAATATGATAAAGTGAATTACGTAAAGAATTTGAAGGAGAATACTGAAGCAACATAGCTGGAAGGAGGAAACTATCTTGTCTTCCTATCTGTCTTAAGGTGAAAGGAATAGATTACTAAGAAAGCATATATGATCTAATGAGCCAATCAATGAGATGAAGGGCCATCATATACTACCTCACTGACTCACACACATACCTTCGGCCTAGGAATAGGACAGAAGTAAGAGGACAGTATATATATTTATTTACATTTCAAGGCTGCCCACCTCTTTGATGACTCTGGGCAGCTTACAAATAAAAAAAAAAAAAAAGGGAACAACACATATAAAAAGAAGGATACAGCTGACCAGAAGAACAAACACTCAAACTAACCTAAACTAACTAGAAAGGGATACACAACCACCTTAAGCCAAGGCCTGGGAGAACAAACAGGTTTTGAATAATTTACGGAACGTCATAACGGTGGGAACCGCACAAATCTTTGGGGAGATATCATTCCAGAGGGCAGGAATTGCAAGATGACACTGTTTAATAAACAGGATCTGGATTACACCCACCCTGATTAATCATACTGCATGGGCAGAAACAAATGGAAATAAGCAGTCCCTCAGATAGCCAGGCCCCATGCCATGAAGGACTTTAAAGGTGATAACCAGCACTTTGAATTGCACCTGGAGGCTAACCAGTAACCAGTGCAGTTCACAGAGCAGCAGGGTCACATGAACATAATGCACCACTCCTGTGGTACTTACTGCCTGTGCAGCTGCATTCTGGACCAGCTGTAGCTTCCAGATGATCTTAAGGACAGTCTCCTGTAGAACCCATTACAATAATCTGATTGTGAAGGGATCAGGGCATGAGTGACTGTCTAAAGAGCCTTCCAGTCTAGCACAGGGCATAACTGCTGTGCCAGATGTACCTATGCAAAGGTCCTCTTGGTCACAGCTGGTACCTGCTCACTGAGCAGGAGCTGAGAGTCCAAGAGGACCCCCATATTGTGCATAAGTCTCAAATGAGAAAGTGTCACCCCATTGAGAGTTAATGATGGACTATCTCTGGACTTGGGAGACCCAAACAGACACTTGGTCTTGTCAGGATTGAGCCTGAATTTGTTTCTCCCCATCTAGACCCACAAATCTTCAAGCACTGGGCTAGGACTTTGACGGCATCACCTGGCTGGCCTGGGGTTGAGATGTACAACTGGGTATAATCAGCACATGAGTGATACTTGTCCAAAACCAATGGATGATCTCACCCAACATATTAAACAGAAGGGAAGAAAGTATAGAAACATGTGGAACCCCACAAAGTGAGGGACCATGGGAGCAGTCTCTCCCCATTTGCCAACACCAATTGGAACCAGCCACAGAGAAAGGAGAATCACCATAAAACAGTGCCTCCCACCCCCCATCCTTTGGTGTTGGGCCAAAGGACACCATAATGGATGGTAACAAAAGCCGCTGAAAGATCAAGGAGCACAAGGATATGTTGAGCAGAGTGCAGCAATACTCCTGTTGTGCAGAGTGCAGCAATACTTCCAGGAAA